GCCATGAAGGAGATGGCGTACTACAACATGTTGTAGCTGGGGCTGGCAGGGCTGTGGGGGCTTGGCAGGGTGAGAGGGGCTGTGGCACCCAGCCAGATCCCCTAGAACTGGAGGTGGTGCTCCCGCTGGGGTTGGAGAACACAGGGATGTCCAGAAGCCTTTGCCGGACCTGCCGTGGCTCTGCTGCTGCCCCCCTGCCCGCGCCCCGCGCCCGGTGAATTGAAGCTGCGGACGGGGGAGGCACAACCCAGAAAATCACTGAATGGGTAAGGGTGGAAGGGGCCACAGTGGGGCAAGATGATGAGCATCACTAACGATTCTACCTCCTGGGTCCCCCCTCGGGTGCGCTGGAGCTCCCCCCGGGCTCCCCAGGGGGCAGAAGCCCCTGTCCGCGGGAGGAGGCGGGTGTGCCCTCCTGCTCGCCGTGGGGCTCCCTGTGCCAGGCTCTGGGGCACACAACAGAGTATTTTCATAGAAGCTCAGGGCGCAGTCAGTGCCCACAGCTCGGGGTCCAAAGCTGCAGCCAGCGGCATATCCAGGGGAGGCAAACCCAGCCCAGCCCCAGCAAATGATGGTATTTTGAAAGTAATTTATTTTTTTCAGATGTGCCGCGTGGTTGGATTTATCTTTTCACCAAGTTCAGTTCCCTTCAACCAATGTGCTTTGTAAACCTGTGTAAGCTGTGTGGTCTGTGCTGGGAGCCAGGGGGGGCTGCGGGGGCCTGAGAACAAACTGGCACCCCCTCCTTGCCCCTCAGCTGCTCTAGGGTTCAGGAAAAGGTTCTCGCTTGGGCAGAGGTGGGGGTTTGCCTCCTCCATGCCCAGGGATTAGGGAGGAAGCAGCTGGGGCAATGCTGGGTCCAGGACTGCTATCTGGGCTCCGCACCCTCCCTGCTGTGGGACTGGGGTTGGCAGCACCCACATCATTTCCCCCAAGTGTGCCCAGAGCTGGAGAGGGTCCTGGTAGGCATCAGGACCTTGGGTCCAGCCAGAGCACAGGGTTTGGGACCCCTGTGCTGACCCCCCCACCCACTTTGTGCCCTTGGCTGTGCTCCCTGGGGCTGGGCACCATGTACCCCATCCCCAGAAGCCTTGGGCTGGCTCTGGAGCTGGCACCACTCAGCCTCCCCACACAAGGCAGTGTGCCTACCACCCTTGCCATCCACCTTCTCCCCCGCAACATCATCCAGCCTGGGGGCAGGATGGAGATGGCCACAGCCTTGGCCAGCCCAGACCTGTCCTCAGCATGGCAGGGCTGTGCCCCTAGCCAGTGTGGACCCCCACACGCTACCTCAGGCCAGTGCCAAAATGCTGGGGCACACGGCCTTCCAGGCTGGCGAGGCTGAGCTGAGGGGTCTGGTACTCCCTGTGCCCACACTGCAGAGCTGTGCTACTATGATGTGCCATGGCTGAGGAGGTGTTTAATGGCACCACAGAGTTATGGAATACATAAATCAGTTCAGGACAGACCCCCCCAGCCCTACAACTCCTGCTACAAAGGCTTTAAAAACACTCGTAAGAAAACCGCTTATAAAAATGATTCATCTGTTCCTGAGGCGTGTCAGGGAGCTGGAGGTGGCACTGGGCCCCTCCCTGCCCTGTCCATCCTGGGAACAGCGGGGGCCCCCTGCCCCCTACTTCTTGCCCAGGGCCTTGTCCAAGTTGTTCTTGATGGCGTCGAGGAAGTCTGTGGTGTTCACAAAGTGCTCATTCAGCTTCACACTGTGGGGACAGAGAGGGGTTAGGGGGGGTCCCTGCCCACCTCCCCTCACAGGCAGCACGGCCCTGAGTTGTGAGATGTGACCCTTGCCCAACCCTGCCAGCTGCGAATAGACACCCCAAGTCCCCAGGGACTTTCCAGAGCCCAGCAGCTGCCTGTGGCCACCGTGCAGGGCCAGCCTGCCCTTGTGGCTGCCCTGCGGGGCCAGCCCGCCCTTGTGGTCACCCGTGCAGCCACGTTGCCCTGGTGCAGACGGCTGCCTCCCCCCTGCTCCCCCCCCAAGAGTCACCCATACTTGGCGAGGCCGTGGATGCAGCCGGCGAGGTCCTTCGTCATCGTTCCGCTCTCCACAGTGTCCACACAGACCTTCTCCAGCGTCTGTGCAAACCTGGGGGTGGCAGCACCGCAGCTCCAGCACAGCCAGCACCAGACCCCACCACAGCTGTGCCTGGGGCAGCTGCTGGCAGGGACCCTCACCCCAGGGACCCCCACCCCACCCTGCTCACTTGATGAGGTCGGGGTTACTGTCCAGCTTGCCACGGTGCTCCAGGCCACGCGTCCAGGCGAAGATGCTGGCAATGGGGTTGGTGCTGGTGGGTCGTCCCTGCGTGGAGAGAGCAGTCAGTTGTCTGGTGTGGGCACCACATTGTGGGCCTGGCACAGGCAGGTCCTGCTGCCAGAGTGCACCCACCTTCTGGTGCTCCCGGTAGTGGCGGGTGACAGTGCCGTGGGCGGCCTCAGCCTCGATGGTCTTCCCATCCGGACACACCAGGACAGAGGTCATCAACCCCAGGGAGCCGAACCCTGCAGCAAGACAGGGGTCAGGGCGGCTCTGTGAGGGTGAGCACACGTAGCCCACCCCACCTGTCCTCTCCTACTGCCCCACCTTGGGCCAGGATGTCTGACTGGACGTCCCCGTCGTAGTTCTTGCAGGCCCAGACGAAGCCGCCGGAGGATTTCAGCATCTGGGCGACCATGTCGTCAATGAGCCGGTGCTCGTACCAGATCTTCAGCTTGTCAAACTCAGTCTTGTAGTGCCTGGGAGCCCAGGCCGGGGGTCAGCTGTGTCCACCCCAGGTGGGTCCTGCTGCCAGCCCCTCCTGGGCAACCCCCTACGGCAGCCCAAGCCCCCCCAGGTCCATACTTATCAAAGATCTCCTGGAAGATGTCCTTGAAGCGCCCGTCATAGGCCTTGAGGATGGTGTTCTTGGTGCTCAGGTAGAGTGGCCACTTCTTCTGGATGGCGTACTGGAAGCAGCTGTGCGCGAAGCCCGAGATGGACTGCATGGGAAGTGCACAGACCCCGTGGGACCCTGACCCCCCGCCCGGCAGCTTCCCCAGGGTGGCAGGGCACGCTGCCCCGCAGGGACCCCTCCAGCCCCACCGGTACCTCGTCCGTGTTGTACATGCCCATGCCCACGCCGCCTCCGGGGAAGTTGAACACCTCCCACTCCTTGGCCCCGCTGCCATCCTTCGGCGTGAAGACCATCTTGAACGTCCCAGACTTGCTCACCACAAAGTCAGTGGCTTTGTACTGTGGGGGGCCGGGCAGAGCGTCAGGCAGTGGCCACAGGAGCTGCTGGACATCCCCATGCTGCCAGCCCCTGCACCAGGCTCACCTGGTCGCCGTGGGCGTGGCGGCCGATGGTGATGGGCTTGGTCCAGCCGGGCACCAGGCGGGGAATGTTCTTGCAGATGATGGGCTCTCGGAACACCGTCCCCCCCAGGATGTTTCGAATGGTGCCATTGGGGCTCTTCCACATCTTCTTCAGCTTGAACTCTGTGGGGCATGCAGAGGTGAGACCCTCAAGGACCCCCCCAGACCTCCAGAAGAACCCAGCCCCTGCCAGCCCCCACTCCACTGTGCTGTGGGCTGACTAGGTGCCGGGCTGGCCAAGGGGTGGGACAGCCAGTGCAGAATTGTGACTGGCATGGGGCAGTTTGTCCCCCAGCCCCATGCCTGTGGGGTCCCCACAGCACCCACAAGCCCCCCAGGATGGGGAGGGAGGCACAGCGCTGAGCATGGTGCATCCCCCAGCCTACCGGAAACCTGAGCTGGCAGGGGGGAGGCACTGCTGACCCCAAGGGGCTGCACACAGACGGGGCTCAGCACTCCATGGAGCTCCTGCCAGCACCCCACACTGCGGTGGGAGCTCATCCCCTCACCCCTGCCCACCTTCCACCCTGGCTTCGTCGGGCGTAATGGTGGCACACTTGACAGCCACACTGTACTTCTGGGTGGCCAGTGCCGAGTCAATGGTGACTTGGTCGTCCGTCTTGTCCCGGTGCGGCAGTCCCAGGTCGAAGTACTTCAGCTGGACATCCACGTTGGGCAGGATGAGCTGGGGGGCCGGGAGAGCATCAGAGCAGGGGGACAATGTGGGGTGGCCGGGGAGCAGCACCCTTGCACAGCCAGCCCCGGCACCCACCCCAGCACAGTTCGGCTGCCTGCCAGGGACCATCCCCCCCAGCCAGGATGATCCCCCCTGCCTGGGATGGGCCTCCCCACCCAGAACAGTCCCGCCTCCCTGGGACCCTCTCACTTCCAGGCCTGTCCGGAAGCTGTGCCGATTTTACCACCTGCTTCCTGCGGACAGAGGGACAGAGGTGGGAGGGACAGACACAGCCCAGCACAGGCACCGCCTGCTCCCCACACATCCTCCTCAGCTTTGCTTGTGGCACACCCACCCATTCCCAGGGCAGGACCCTGTCACCTTCTCCTTGATGAAGGCCCAGATGATCCTCGTCATCTCATCCCCGTCCATCTCCACCACTGGGTTGGCCACCTTAATCCGCTTGTCAGCATCTGGGGAGCAGCTGGAGGATGTTAGGGGTGCACCCCTGGCCCCACAGCTCCTCGCCCCGGTGTGTGGCCAGGGCGTCCTGTGGGGACCACACAGCCCCATCCGGCCAGGTGCGGGTGCCACCCCAGGTCAGGAACAGCTACAGGTCGGGGGCAAACCCCGCTGGGGTCTGGGCCAGTTTGTGGTTCCAACACTGCTGTGGTGGGGGTCAGGGTGCAAAATGCCCCATGGCAGTGGGACAGGGACAGGTGCCCATCCCTCTCGGGGTGGGACCCATGCGCAAGCTGGGCTGCAACGCCCCGGTGAGGCTGAGACCAGGGCCAGAACCAGGTGCAACCCCCCTGGAGCCAGGCCCAGGCACAAAACAGGGTACAAATCCCTGCCTGGCTCCTGGACCGGGACTAAATACCTCTGGGTGCCAAACTTGGCTCCGGGTCGGGCTGTAAAACCTCACGTGGGACCCAGACCAGAGGTGACCCCCCCACACCTGGGCGGGACCTGAGCGCTTACGGGCTACAAAATTCTACGTGGAGCTGGGAGCGGCAGTTGGAGCGGGAGCGGGAGCGAACCTTCCAGGGGGGCAAATCGGGTGGCAAAACCCCGTGTGTGTCTGGGAGCAGGAACGGAACCCCAAGGCTCCGACCGGGTACAAGCAGAGGTGCAAAACGCGGCACGGAACATGGACCAAATCCCCCCGGGACCAAACTCCCCCGTGACCAAACTCATCTGTAAAATCCCTCGTGGAACCGGGACCAAACCCCCCGGGACCAGACCCAGCTACAAAACCCGGCGTGGGTCCGCAGACCCCCCCCGGGACTGTCAGCAAGCGTGGATCCGGATCCAGTTTCAGACATCGCTCCCCAAAGGAATCCGACTCGCCTTCCCGTGGGTCTGGGGCACACCCCCCTCGTGGCGTGCGCGGCCCCAAGGACACGAGGCTCTCCCCCCACCCCCGGGGCCCCCCCACTCACAGTGCCGGCGCTGCCCCGCGCAGGCAGCGGGGAGCGGGCAGCGGGGCGGGCAGCGGGGCAGGCGGATCAGCGCCGGGGCGGCGCGGAGGTAGCGGGCGGCCATGGCGTGGGCGGACGCGACAGGGCGGACACGGGGGCGCGGTTCTCTCCGCCCCGGGGCGGGACAGAGTCCCGGCCCCCGCCGTGGGGCCCCGCGAGAGCTTCGGAGGGGCCCGCACGGGGTCCCACGCGGAGAACTCGGGCCGTTGCCGCATTCCCCCCCCCCGATGGCAACGCACAGGGTGACCAGAATCCGCAGCGGCCCGCATTCCCAGCAAAGGGATGGGGCATTCCTGGGTACATCGGGGTTGCAGACACGCGGCCAACCCCCGCGTGGAACCAGGACCAAACCCAGCTGGCATCAAACCCGGCTGTAAAACCCTGCGTGGAATCGGACCAGACCCTCCCAGGACCAGATCCAGCTGTAAAACCCTGCGTGGGACTAGGACTAGACCCCCACAGAACCTGACCCAGTTGCCAAACCCCACATGGATCAGGGACCAAACACCCCCCAAGACCTGATCCGGTTGTAAATCCCCACGTGGAACCAGGCACGAACCTCCCTCCAGGGACCAGACCCGGCTGCAAAACCCCGTGTGGAACCAGGAACAAACCCTGCCCTGGAATCGAACCCAGCTCTAAAACCCCTCGTGGAACCAGGAACGAACCCCCCCTGGGACCAGACCCATCTGCAAAACTCCTCTTTAAATCAGGATCAAACCCATGCAGGATCAAACCAAGCTGCAAAACCCCTCGTAGGACTGGGACCAAACCCCACTGCAAAATCCCGTGTGGAATTGGGGGGTACACTGAGATTGGGGACACGCTGCCATAGCCTGTCCCTACATGGAAGCTGGTGTTCCTACTCATGGCCGGCGCGTGACTCGGCAGCTGGATCCAGCAGGACAAGGGCAGCTGCCACTGTTGCACGGGGGACCTTCACCTCGCCTGGCCCCCGCATGGGAAGGAGGAGGAGGAGGAGGAGGAGGAAGAGGAGGAGGAGGAGGAGGATGGGAGTGATGCACACCAGGGGCCCCCCAAGAAGGAGCATGGAGCGTGCTGGGGTGGCTGGGAGGCTGCTTGGGCTAGGATTTGTACTGCCCTGCTGTCCCAGCCAAGCCTATGGCTTTTTTTAGCCACATGGGACGGGCAGATCCCGCTCCAGGAGGAAAAACAGCCCTGGAGCTGGCAGCCCCCGGTGGAGGGGCTGGGGGGGCCGTGGCGGGCGCTGACGTCTGCCTGGCTTTAACATTAACCAGAGCAAGAGCCGCGGGGCCGCGGCAGTGGGGGGGTCAGCACCCAGTGCTCCGGGGTCCTGGGTGTCCCAGTCCCACTACCCGCCCCATGGCACACCATCTTGCCAGCAGCCCCACAGCCGCATGCCAACACTCCTGGGGCTGCCCCCCGGCACAGGGCCCAGGGGGCTGCCTGGCTTCCCCCCCAGATGCCCTCCCGGCTGCCCTTGCCCTGGCCCCGCGGTCGGAGCCGCCCAGTGACCGCGGCGCTGGCAGGACGAGGTCAGGCCAGCGCGGCAGTCGTCCCCCGCGAGGAAAGGACAAGAGCAGTCATGTGGCACAGGCCCAGGAAAGGCTCCAAACAAAGGCATCGTCCGTCCATCCCTGGCTGCAGCCCAGCCACCCGCCCTGTGTCACACCAGTGCCCCCAGTGAGGTGTCCCCAGGGGAACTGGAAAGCTGGCAGGGCTGGCTATGGGGCTGGGATCTCAGAGAGCGACAGGTTGGGGACGCAGCCAGGGGATGAGCAAGGACATGGAGGAGGGTCTGCATGTCGTCCCCTCTGCCCGCAGGCAGCCCCATGTCTGCCCGTGGGTGGGGGCACCGGGGCGCCCATGGGGGCCACGTGCCCAGTGGGGCAATGTGCCGTGTTTCCTTGTGCTGCCCCCAAATGTGGGAGCTGCTGGCCTGCAGGCTGGGGTGGGGGCTGCAGTCCCCCCTTCAGCAACCATCTGACCCCCCCGAGCCTGCTGCAATGACCGTGCCCCGGGACCCCTATGGGGACCCCTGCCCACCCAGCACAGACCAGTGTTTTGATGCCCACTATCCCAGCAGCTGCTCTGGGCCCTGCTGACACCCAGCTGGCAGCCACTGGCTCCGAGTGTGCCACCATGGGGACACCAATGGCCGTGGTTACCCCAAACCCCATAGAGCCATGAGTCACCATGAGATGCCCAGAGCCATGAGTTACCCCAAAACTCCCAGAGCTGGGTGTCACTTCCAGGATCTCACCGTGATGGCTGGGGCCAAGTGTAACAGGCACCAGCTGTCCCCAAGGCCACCCTTGCTACTGGGCATCCTGAGAAAGGGCCCCCAGTGGGTGCTGCCCCCCAAAACCACGCTCCCCGCCAGCCCCACGGCGCTGTGGGCCCCTGGCCGTGGAGAGGGGGCTGGGACATGCAGCCTTGGGGACACCAGCATGGCCCCATTTGGGCCAGTGTCACTCCAGCGACGGCGAGGGGGGGTCACAGCCCAACCCTACAGCTCCCGCCCCCAGCGCTGGGCCCGAGTCAGGCAGGAGCTGCCGCCCAGCTCCTGCCCCCCGAGACCCCCGGGGCGGGGCGGGCTGGAACGGGGAGGGGCGGGGCGGCCCTTTGTTGTGCCGCGGGCGGAGCCCCCGGAGCCGCCCCCGCACCGCCCCTCGGCGCCGGCGGGGAACACCCCGCACCGGCCCCGCTGCCCGCGGCTCCCGCCGCGCCCCGGAGCCGCCGAGCCGGTGAGCGGGGGGGGGCGCTGGGCACGGGCAGGGATGTGTGTATGTGAGAGGGAGAGAGAGTGAGAGTGAGAGTGTGTGTGTACGTGTACGTGTATGGACGACTGCGTGCGTGTGGAGTGTGTGCGTGTGTGTGCGTGTGTGTGCGGGGTTGTGTGTGTGGCTGTGCGTGTGTGCAGGGTTGTGCATGTGTAGGGGGCTGTGCGTGTGTGTGCGGGGTTGTGTGTGTGGCTGTGCGTGCGTGCAGGGCTGTGCGTGTGTGTGCGGGGCTGTGTGTGTGTGGCTGTGCATGTGTGCAGGGCTGTGCATGTGTAGGGGGCTGTGCGGGTGTGTGCGGGGCTGTGTGCGTGTGCATGCACAGGGGTGGTGTGTGCGTGTGCACGGAGGTCCCCGAGAGATGGGTGCACAGGGGATGGTGAAGGGGCTGGGGTTGCGGGTGAGTGTGAGACTGCGTGAGTGTGAGTGTGCATGTGTGTACCCATGTGTGTGACTGCGTGTGAGTGTGCATGTGTGTGCCTGTGTGCGTGACTGTGTGTGAGTGTGCATGTGTGTGCCCGTGTGTGTGACTGTGTGTGGCTGTGCCTGTGCATTTGTGTGTGCATGGGTAAGTGTGCATATGTGTGCGTGGTGTGTGTGTGTGACTGTGTGCACCTGGATGTGAGTTCGCCTCTCTGTGTGTTTGTGAGTGTGCCTGTGTACACGCATGTATGTATGTGTTTGTGTGTGTGTGTGTATGTGCAGGGTGCAGGCACACCGGGGGCCATTCCCTCAGCCTGTTCCCAGACGTTGTTTGCTGCCCAGGGCGTGAACACCCCGTGACCTCGCTGCGTGTGTTTACATGTGCCGAGTGTGCGTACGCTGTGGCTTGGCCGAGGGTGTGGAAGTGCAGGCACAGACGGTGGTTGGGATGGGTGTCATTGGCTACTCGTGGGGAGGCATGTTAGTGCACGCTCAGGGATGGGACACACGTGTGCGTGGTGTGTCCCACTGTGTGCTGTGCCCTGGACACCAGTGGGATGCACATGTGCTGTGTGTCATGGGCATGTGGCCACAGCACCTGAGGAAGTATTGGGGCCCAGGCAGCCCCTGGGCTGGGGGCACAGGGAGAGTCAGCATCCCATGGGCTGTCAGGTCACTCCATGGGCCCCAGTGCCTGCTCCACCTGGGCCTGGGCCTGCTTGGGAGGCTGGCACCCCCTCTGATCCATGGGCATCACCATGGCAAGGGTAGCAAGGGTGCCATGGGACCAAGGAGACCGGTGCTTGTTTGGGCTCTGCAGAGCCCAAACTGGCTGGGAAGGGGGCACCCATCCCTGAGCCAGAACCCCCCATTCCTGCACTCCAGGGTTCTGATGTGCCTGCGCTTGGGGCCCACCACCTTGCTGCCCACTAAGGGTGCTCACTGCCAGGGGTGCCTGCTGGCTCTGCTCTGCCCTGTGCCAGGGGTGCCTGACAAGCAGTGGGGGCTCAGGGAAGCATCCCATGTATCCTGCAGCCCCCTGGGCAGGCAGTGCAGGGGTGCAGGCAGGCACTGGCATCATGGGGGACAACTGGGCCATGGGGTATCCCCAGAGCTGAGCCTAACATTGTACAGGAGCAATGGGACAAGTGTGTGTTTTGGGGTGCCCGGTGCTCTGGGTGCAGGGTCTCCCACAGCACCCTGCTGGGGCAAAGAGGACTCTGTGGGGCAGTGAGGGGCTTGGTGTGTGCCACCATCAGACAGCATCAGCACCCCAGCCTGGAGGTCCTGGCAGCGGAGTCTGAGCTGGTGGCGGGCCAGGGTCATGGTGGCGGGCCAGGGTCATGGTGGCGGGCCAGGGTCATGGTGGCAGCCCAGCTTTGCCCCATGGGAGGCCCTTGGCTCAGGCAGGGTGTCACAGCTGGTGCACACGGAATGAGGGATGCCCCAGGGCCCTGTGGGGAGCCCTCATGCCACAGGCCAGAGGCTGCCCCAGCCCCTCATCCTGCTCGAGGCCTCTCCCCAGGGGCTGGTGGGAAGAGGCAAAGCTGAGCCATGCTCCAGCTGCGGCCATGCCTCCAGGTATCCCCATGCAGAGAGACTTGTGATCTCCGAGCAGCTGGTGCTGAGCAGCTGGAGCTGGAGCATCTGTGACTCGGCAGGGCCCACAGCCACACGCTGCAGGTGTGTGTCACGCGTG